ATACCCTTCATGTCACCGCAGCGATCTAAAAATAGCGCACATTTCCAAAATTAATTTCGTCTCCAGACTCCAAAAAAATACGCGCGCCATCCGCAAAAAATCGAACATTTCTTGTGGCCGAATTTGAAACATTTTATGCCAAGCGTGAGTAATACAAATATTGTATTTTAAAAGTGCGAAAATACGATTTGTCTTACTTGCAAATACTGTTTTTCCACCAATGTTCAATTGTAACGATTGTTTATACTATATAATTTGGACGTTATTTGATGGAGTCCAAAATACATAGGCGAAGAAAGGAATTTTCAAAATGTCGAATGGAAGCATCGTTTATATTATTTTATAATCATTTTAATGCTCCTCACGTCCCCACTTCGTCTTTCCTCGTGTTATTACATATTTGCCTACGAACTAACAAAAGGTATGAATTATTTATCCTTTTTACTTAGTCTTCAAAATTTTAAATTTAGAATTTTAACATATATATAATCTTCTTAATACGATTTAGGGTCCGCGCGAGTACGTGGGCCTGGTATTGAAATTAGCGAATTCGCATGCAAATTAGCGTATGTTTACAGTAAGATAACCCAAATATCCGATAAATCACGTCGCTCTCTTAAAAAGCTTTTCAAGACCCGGTGGTCATCAAGAATAGACAGCATACGACCGACGAAAAACAGATTACCCGACATTCTCAAGCTTGATCCTGAAGCATGCAATATAGTAAATTATGTGAAAGCAAAGAAAAATCTAAGATTATTGATCTGTTAGTGTTAAAGAAAATAAGCACTCTGGAATTTCTTCTTTCACTCATTATCTGGGAAAAAATTCTTTCGGTAATTAACCCCGCATCTACAGATCTGCAAGCATTTGATAAACGGATTTTGGCAAATTATCCTCCGAATTGGGAAGAGCACAAGAAAAAGAAACGAGTGGAGACCAATGCCGAATGGAGAAATATTTTAAAAGAATCCAATATCCGTGCTCTTATTCTGGACTTCCTGTTCCTTTTGTTAAAAAAAGAAGAAGGCTTCCCAGATACTTTGACGAAGAGGCCACAGACGAGCTTGTCATTGATGCAGAAACAAATTCCGTGTGGAACTGTTCTTTCCAATAATTGATACTATTACTTTAAAGCCAGAAGAACGTTTCAAAGGCCAGCAATTTGTTGCCCAAACTTTCAATTTTCTGTCTTTTGGAGACTTTATTGAAATCTATCAATTTGATATGAGATCCAAATCTGAACAACCACAAGATTATTGCAAAGTGAAAAATTCTGTCTTCTACAGTGTATGTTTTCAGGAAGACCGCGTTGTCGAAATGGAAGATGGCAAGACAATCAGAAGTGCATGTGCAGCTAACGTATTCAACCATATTTACGAAAACGAAATGACCAGCTCCTATTCCCAGTTGGTATCAATACTTATTTTTCTCACTCTGCCCGTTACTGTAGCCACTGCTGAACGATCATTTAGGAATCTTAAGATTATATAAAGTTTTTTAGGATCCACAATGGCGCAAAAAAGAATGAATGCACTTGCTGTTATTTTTATTGAATTTGAAGAGGGAAAATAGCTTGAAATTGACAAAATGATTGATACTTTTGCAGTAAAAAAGGCCTGATCAAATAAATCTAATAATTAACTGAAACAAATTGGTTGCAAATAGTTAAATTGTGTTTGCTTACACCTTGTCAGTATATTATTTTTATTTTCTAACAGCTTTATTAGGAAAAAAATATATTACATTAATAAGGTACAAATACAACAAACATGCAGTTCCTAAAATGGAAAATAGCGAACGGGCCATAATAGCCCATGCGACGCTACCTCCCGATTTGACTTCTGTCGACATTTACAAATTTACATAGAATTTTAAGTTTAAAATCGTTGAAAGTACGTTTACACGCATTCAACCAAAATTAAAATCAATTATTTGTAAGCCAGCTAAAACGTCATTTGGTGGCATCAATCATAAAAGAGGAACCCCGACCGGTCGTAACGCGTAAACGTGCTTTAAGAGGCAGTCCGTGTAAAAACCGACCACTCGAATTTCTTAAGATTACAGATTTCCTTCAAACTTTCTGTGTGGAAGAAGTCATTCATAAAATGAACAATAAACGTTGACTTTGAAATTGTAGTCAGTTTTAAAAATTTTTTCGCAATTATTTTCGGACGCGTTCGAAAACAAGTTAAAACGTTAATTACGCAAGTGATATTTGAGCTTTATTATATCTCACAGTTCATCTCGCGCTTTTATTCTAACTTCTTGAAACTTACATATTTTATTATTTCCTGCCTAGGCATAAACCTAAACTAAAAATTATCCTGATCACTTGAAGCAAACAAAATATTGTGTATTTTTAAAAACGTCTTTCAGACAGCGGATTAAATATTCGTGTTAGTATGCTGGCGGTAATTATTTTTTCTCAAAAGTGCAACGGTATCAGGTATCCAATCTATTGCAGCTACTGAGTATTATGACACATCTACTACAATAAATAATAAAATCTTTGGGCAGTGTGTTTTTCACTTGACAAGCGCGTCATGAATATAGTCAATTTTCGCTAACTCGACTAATTATAAGCTATAATTTGTTAATGCATTTATTTAAATTTTTCGCGTTAAAAACATACAAAATTGTTCACTATCTTTCAAATATGGCTGTTTTTTGGATAGAGACTAAGTTATAAATATGCAAGCATTTATGCTAGCTTTATAACATAGAGCAAAAGTCTTGACGCATGTGCCGACTGAAATTGACATGCATGCACGCGTTGCTAATTATATCCGCCGGTATTATCTTTCTATTATTATTTATCAGTGTTGTTGAATAATGCTAGATTAGATTACTAACTTTAAACCTATCTTATTAACATTCATATTTCTAGGCTAGTTTTGGGTTAGCTGTGCCTCGGTCACATGACAGTTGTTTTGGCGCACTTTTATATAGTTTTAGAAAAACTCGAAACACAACGCTTTGTAATAGTTTTATACACAATAATATTCAACCAAACAAACCTGGTCCTCGTCTTTTACGACATTATTTGGTGCCGTGACCAGGATGGAAGAAACTCAAAGAATTCAGCGCTCACGAAAGGGACACAGAGCTCATTTCACAAAGGTTTTAAACAAGGCTACAACAATTATGGAGAATGACGAAGCCCCAAACGCCATGCAGATTGCTTCGCTCACCGCTACTATTGAACAACTCGCAAGGAAAAGAACCGTATTGAACGAACTGAAAGAAAAACTCTTAGCTATGGTCGAAGATCCCGACGGACTCGAACAAGAAATCATGGAAGCAGAGGATATTGAATGTGAAATCAACGAGAAAAGTGCTCAGATAAGTGCCTTTGTTTTGTCTTGTAAATACTGTTAAGAATCCAGTAATCTCACAAGTTAATGCACCCCAAGTTATTACATCTCCACAACAAGTTAGTGCACCCCAAGTTATTACATCTCCACAACAAGTTAGTGCACCCCAAGTTATCACACCTCCACAACAAGATAATTCACCACAAACCATTCCCTCTCTACAAGTCAGTGAATCACAACCCACTACATCCTCAACACTCGAAGTAAATCCATTGCAAACCCCACCATTAAACCAAAAACAATCAGTCACTGTTAACGAATCCGAAGGTGTTAGTTCAATGAATACTAGCACTAATACTGGTAATCTTCCAATGAACTATCAATCCAACCCAGTATCACCAACATCTCAACCACACCTCACCCCAACCCCAAATCATGTGAGTCGTTTACCCAAATTAAACTTACCAACCTTTTCTGGAAATCCCTTGACTTGGAACACATTTTGGGACTCATTTAATGTAGCTGTAAATTCAAATCCGAATCTTGAAGGGGTACAAAAATTTAACTATCTAAGAGCCCAATTATCTGGAGATGCTGCCAGAGCTATAGCTGGATTCCCACTTACCAACAACAACTATAAACAAGCTGTAGACCTTCTCAAAACTAGATTTGGAGAACCCCAAAAGATTATTAATAATCACATGCAAGCTCTATTGAACTTACCCAACCCATCCAATGACCTAACTAACCTACAGCAATTCTATGATTCTATGGAAACCCATGTAAGGGGTCTTGCTTCCCTTGGTAAATCTCAGGAATCATATGGAGATCTTCTCGTCCCCATAATCCTTGGCAAACTACCCAATAATCTTAGACGAAACTTAGCTCGAGAACACAGTAACCCGGAATGGACATTCTCTCAATTAAGAGAATCCATTTATAAGGAAATTAAAATTCTGGAAGCAGGGATACCCAGTTTGGAAAATAGAATCACACCTGAAAATCATCATGCTTCTATCACATCATCATTCCTATCACACAATCGACATGAAACACCACCAAGATATGTTCCATCCATTCATCCTCAACCGAAGAAACATGTTTATTGTAAGAAAGAACATTCATCTAATGAATGTGCTACAATCAAAGATTGTTCAAAACGTTGGGCAATTGTAAAGGAACAGAAACTTTGTTTCAATAGTTTGGGTCACCACAAATCCTCAGCATGCCTGTCAAAGTTTCGCTGTCGCTCATGTAAGGGAAACACCATACCAGTCTCTGTAATGAAGGTCAGCCAAAACCTGAAATACCCTCACCAGCTGCAAACGTTACTGGGAACACCTCGGGTACTGTTGTCCACACCACTATGACCCCTATTGCCCCCCTGACTAATCCCACCCACACGGAAACCTTGCTCAAAACAGCCATAGCAACAGTTGGTAATCAGACCACCTACTGTGAACGAAGGAGCACAAAGATCATTCATTACCAAAGATTTAGCAACCCGCTTGCAACTACAACCCACAGAAAGAGAATTTATCAGTGTATCTGGCTTTGGTGCTCAAACTTCAGCTGCAAGGTCCCTCGAGTCCACCGTCATCAACCTTAAGACCATTACCAATGATGAAATCCCACTACGCGTACTAATTGTTGAAAGAATAGCAACACCACTTCAACTTCGTTCACATCACCATATCAACAACATCCCACATCTGAAGAACCTTCAACTTGCACACCCTGTAACAAATGATGAGAATTTTGAAATTTCCCTCCTCGTTGGAGCCGACCAATACTGGGACATCATCGAAGACCAAGTCATCCGTGGAAATGGGCCTACTGCCATGAAATCCAAAGTTGGTTATCTACTGTCAGGTCCACAAAAAACTGACCAACCAGTACATTCGATTGCAAATTTTCTCCAGATATCCTCAGATGAGTACGACCTACAACGATTTTGGTCTCTAGAGTCATTGGGAATAACACCACCAACTGAAAATGATCCTCATAAACAATTTCTCGAACAGTATCAACAATCATTCATCAGCCGTGACACGAATGGCAGTTACATAGCAGGATTTCCGTGGAAACCAGAACACCCACCTCTTCAATCTAACTACACGGTATGCGAAAGGAGAACAAGATCGATGGCACGTCGCCTCAAACAAACACCAGAACTACTCCAGACATATAGTAATATCATCACCGAGTATGAAAGTCGTGGATTTATAGAGAAAGTTCAAACAACTCAACAGTCAGATAAAGCTCATTATATTCCCGAGCAAACGATAAAGAAAGATGGACTAGTTATGGTCCACGATGATAAACCCAGAAACACATGGAAATTAGCAATCATAGAAGAACTTATTCGAGGAAACGATGGATTAGTGCGAGCCGCAAACATCCGCACAAAAAATGGTCGCACGAACAGACCAATCACCAAATTATACCCGTTAGAGATCTCCGCAGAAATTAGCAAGAACAACAGAAACAATCGAATGGCGCGAAAGAAACCGACACGTGAACAATTGCTGAAAACAATTCATCACGACCAAATAGAGCGGCGGCTCTAAGAGCAAGAAACAAAATTTCAAA